ATCATTGTATCTTTCAATGAAAAGCTAACTAAAGGATTCTTCTGAGGTTTTTTATGTAGCAACAAGACATCAGCACATTGTATTTCCTGCTTTCCAAGCAGAAAATAGCCAAGAAGCAAATACCTTCAAGTAACTTCACACACACAAATGGCTGTATTTGACAACTTAACCATTTTGCCTCTACACCCTGGGGTTCTTCTTGGGATGTGATTTCAGTACAGATAAATATTTTGTAAAGATGATAACTCCCTTTGCAGCCTGAATAATGCACATTTACTAACGTACGAATCTAGGATACTGGGTTAGACTTTTGGCAGTGGAATGGGATTTATGAAACCTTTGCAATATGGTTTTTATCATCAGGTAGATATTGTGAATCAGATTGTTCTGCTTGACCTGGCTTCCTATGTGATGTTTCTATATATAGCTTGGAGACTTCTCATCTAATTTACATGACAGCTCAAATAGAAGGAATATTTTATGGTATGGTTTAGGCTGGTCAGCATTTGTCTTATTTTTCTAAGGCCATCCAAAATTCTGTTAAGAGTTCATGGACAGATTTTTGGAAAGTACTCAGACCTCGATGGGAACAGAATTAACTGGGTGCAGGCTGCTTTTTGCAAACATTTCTCTGAATCTCTAAGGGAAAGTATAATACACTTTACCCACTGAAAGGGTCTGCAGTTAGAACTAGTTGCAGGGGTGAAATTCTGACATTTTGTATTTTCTTACTTAGAGCAGGGTTTCTTGCAATCTAACCTGCATTATTTAACCACTGGAGTCTCGTTCCAGCTAGAGATTCAAGCGCTCCCAGCAAAGACAGTCTGAAAAGGGGGGTAATCTTTATCTGAGGGTCTCTGACTTTCTTCTCTGGCTACATAGAGCATTTGGATGACATGCATGATTCTTAAGCAATTTTAATGCTAAAATTATAGTTGATTGCTTAACTGTTCACCTACAAGTGTCAGGAATCCCATTCCCATGAATCGATTCTTATACTTTCCAGGTTGCTCATTTCAGCAACAGTTGAAGAATGGAGATGATAAGAAGTCCCTTCATTTTGTACTGCACAGAGAGTTTGAATTATTGTTTTCACTAAGGTGTTCAGTATGAACAGTTCTGAGAACTAATTTGTAGTAATGTCTGGAGTATTGTAATCTGCCCCATGCAAGGTAGAACAGGTCATTCTTGTTAGAGTTGATATTTGTGCATTAAGCTCTCTACTGTTCTCACTATGTAACTGGGTCCTTCAAAAGGAAATATAAAATTAATATTATTTCAACAATGAGAAAATTTGTATATTAATTCAATATCCTTTAATTTTATGTCACTTAATTGCTTACTGTAAATGCATGGAAATAAAACCAGATGCAGCTCTTTAGCCCATGTAAAATTGTGATCCACAATTGCATGCCTTTCTGTTGCATGGGTAGGTGAAGTTTGATGGAGTGTAATACAAGCCCCTCCTCAGACCACTTACCGTTGCTTCCTAATTTCTTTGTTGTAACTACTATGGCACAAAAAGTCAAGAGAGATATTAGAGAAGTAGGTGTGACATCAAAGCTAATAATTTCTATTACACATTATGACTACTACTCTCTGATGACTGTACTGAGAGTCAGGATCTGGTGGGCTTAAACAGCTTAATTTTCCTCAATTATAATACAGTGATTGTGAGACATCTATTTCAAAAGCACTTGCCAGAAAAATTGGTTCAGTCTCATTATCTTTATTTTGTGGTTATATGAACTAAGCCAAACAGGTAGAGAGATTTTTCCACATTATGTTGAATGGTGGAGCAACAGGTAGTACTCACTTGCCTGAACCCATCCAAGGGACAGAATCTTTAGTCTTCCCTATCATAGACAAGGGAATTTTTAAGAGTACTTCTATTCAAATCATGGAGTGGTTTGCCCAAACTCACCATTAATTGAAGAAGAATGGAGCTGTGCTCTGGAAAGCTTTTCTCCTGGCATTTCTGTATTTACCCAATGAAAGCCTTTCTTAATGGAAATTTGACCTGAATATTGGAAAGAAAATATAAATTCAAAATATTAGTTTAAAATAATAATTTAAGTGAACATTGCTGCTTGGTGTTTTGATAAAAGTTGAAGAATTTGTAAAGGCAATTATTCAAAAGCATTGTTCGCTGATACTCAATGAACAAAGTGAATGAGTGAATGACCATTCTTTCTTTCACATCTCAGTTAACCCCTCCCCTGTACTTCGTCTTATGGGGGACAAGCATGGTTTAAAAATATTCTCTGCCTCTAAATAGCTGAAATTCTCTTTTAACTTAAACTATTTTGGAAATCAGTCCAGCAAAACAATTGGGCTCACCAAACCAATATAGAAGTGATGAGAAATGAGTAGTAGTTTCAAATAATTTCCAACAGGCAGAGCTTATTCTCCAAATGAATTGCTAGACCTCGCTAAACTCTTTCACAAAAGCCTGTCCTCTTAGTGGGCATAATTTAATGAATGTATCTGAAAATATTTGTCTTCGGTTGAAATGAAAAACAAAAGACTTACCTAAGTAGATTAGTTTACAGGCCAAGAGGCTAAACCATACAAGACTATGCGTGGTCACTCAGATGAACTGTAAACTGAGAAAATTTTATTCCCTAGAGGAATGAAAACAATATAGCAGAGGCTCATGTTTGCAGCCTGGAACACTGTCTAAACAGCAATGGACTAAATCTCCTTGCATTGTACTTTTTTTCTGTGAGATCCAAAAGTAAAACAGAGTTAAAATATTTTTGAAACTTAACTTTTTGCTTTCTGTCACTGGCATTTTTTCTTATTCCTGTTGTGACTCTGATCCTACATTGGCACCGATTCATGTTGTGCTTCTAGCTCATATAGAAGCCAGTTACTCACAGTTCCAGCCTTTTACCAAATTTGCAGCAAGCTTTAATCCCGTGAGCATTAGCCCCAGGAGCAAACACTTTTAGCAAGGCAGGGCCATATATGAGGAGGAAGATGTGATCGTGGAATCTAGAGGCAAAGATCCCTTTTCCTAGCCCTGGCTATTTGACTATTCACCACTATAAGAGTGAAACTTATCCAAAGTTCCTACCCAGGCCAGATGAATGAGTGAACAGAAGGGGTTAGATGAGGTCTGCAACAGGGCACTCACTCCATGACTCTGAACTGCCATGCAGATAATAGCATTTAACATTGTGCTTTACAATCAAACCCATAATCCTCTCTCTCTTCAGTTTAGCTGCATTACAATTAGACATTAGTAAAAGCAAATGCAAGATTCACAAGCGTCTGCAAATGTTCAGTAACAAAGGTGCCGATCTTTTACTCAGCCATAGGCCCAGGATCCCAAACCTGTGTTTAACTAGCACGAATTTATTGCACCACAGGAGAAAGCAAGCTTCTGTTCTTCAGTCCAAATTGGGTTAGGGAAGTTTCCATCACAAAAAAACCCCTAAACATTTTATTCTGAGACTGCTTCAGGGAATGGCAAAAGCTCATGAGCAGTTATTTGATTATTATGACATGAGGGTCATGTTTTTGCTTTGTAGGTGAATAACTAACACAGTGATGTGATCACTCATTTGGACCATTAAATGCAACCATAAACAAATAAATAACATTCATCAGCAAAATCACCTCCAGTAGTCTCAAATCTAAGTGTGTTATAGAATCACTTTTCCAGGAGAGTTGTTATATGAGTTTTAATCTTTTCTTACAGTGTGAATTTTAGTAGTGATTAAAGGCACCACTTCAGCAATTTGATTTTAATTTCTGGGTAGAATTTGAATGAAAGGAAACAATTTACACTCCTATCAGTGGTAACATCTTGACTTCTAAAACTAAAAGATTAGCTAATTCATTCAATGAAGTGCATGCATGCAATTAATGCATGTTTTTAAAAGACAGACCATCAGATGGAACTATGAAATAGTAATTTCTTTTAACTGAAATCTTTAAATATAGTTACCTCTCCCAAGGTAGGTTGAGAATATATATAATTACGTATAGAAGATGACTAGCATCAGGTATGATGCACTAGCAAGTAGTGCAAGAGGATTTATATAGCAAAATAGCTGGTGCGATAGAGCACAGGTTTGAGGATACTTCGGTCTTTAATCTGGTTCATGGTCTGTTCCTGAATGTAGCTGGAGCACTGAGGTGACAGATAAATCTTCCAATTCAGTTTTAAGCTACAGAAGTCCGGGAACCATCCTGTGATTTGGAACAATCCTGTCATGTGGAAACACCCTCTGACGTGACCCACAGCAAAATAGGTAGTGACAAACAGGGGGTTTGTTTCAAAGGCACGATCCTGGCTCAGACTAAAACACTGATATTTGCTCCCATTTTGCCATTCATTGCACTAACAGTTCTATCTTAAGCAAAGACTTGGCAAGGACTTTTATATTTAACAAAAATAAGTAGCTGATTTAGCACTTGAAAGACTGCTGGTTCTGAGAAAGTACACCCTATTTGTCTTGAGTTAACCTCAGTGTTTTTACTAAAGGCCAGATCCTGAAGTCTCCATTCCCAGCAGTTTTTTCTTTCAGAGGTCCTATTTAAATCATTGAAGTTATTTTCTGTGGAATGAGGTCTATTGCAAAATGTGTGTAAGCAATACTAATGTTTAGGCTCCAAGAAGAAAGGAAAGAAAATAACAACATCATATCTCATATTATTTGTAAAAACAGTGTACCAAGGTACAACATTAATCCAATGACAGGAAGACTTTGGACTTTTCTTATCTGTGTAATAGTATAGATCCCAGAAATTATTCTTTTATTGCTATTCCAGCAAACTCATGTAATGAGACATGTAGTCAATTTTATTGATTTACTACTAACATAAATATTTCCCAAAAACAGAGGAAAAAACTGTATGTGCAATTTGTAATTTGGATTAAAAGAAACGCAGATAAAGATCTTGCTGAAATCAGTGGTAGCAAAAACGTAGTAAAGATTTGGTGTAAGTCAGCATTTTAACACTCTAATTATTCTTTGAAGTTTTATGTGTTACTCACGTAAGTCACTGAAGCAGGATTTACTGTGAAGCATGTGATGGAAGAGCTTACACAACGCGTGCTCTGTGGCGGGTAAATTCTGGCAGGTACACTTGACACGCAGCATTGTGCCCCAATTGCTAATATAAGCTGCTTTGCAATCAGCGTTTGCAGAACATGGCATATCATCTTTGATTAAAGTTTCAAGGCAAGCTTCATCACTGTAGCATTTTTTTGTCACATGTCTCCAACATTTTGACTGAAAAGCTGTGTATTTTTTCCTGGAGAAAAATAATAATCTCAAATTATTTCAGTTCATTTGCTCTTAGAATAGAACAGAATTGGCCTTGAATGCACTATATATGACAATAGAAAACATCTATTAAAAGTTAATGAAGATATCTGTAGATATTAATGAGAAACCAATTTATCACTTACGTTAAATGTTAGGACACAATAAAGGTAAACTCTTTTATATTGTACATTAATATATTAAAACATTTTTCCTTAATAATAAAATTAAGTTATTAATTTACTGTTGATATTGTGTAGTTGTTATAAGAATGTCACTTGGGAAAGTATGGACTGTTACAACACCAGTTAGGACATTATAATAAATATTTTCATTACACAAGTAAAGGTTTTAAAGCAGATGCCACCTCTGTGCAAATGGAATTGTTTTTATTCACCTCCTGATTTATAGATACGGCTAGCCATAATTCACAGACTCATTTTGCTAATTATATCCACTTATTGTCAGTGCCAGGAAACATTAATGTTCCCAAAATGACAGGTAATTCAACAAGTCTCCATTATGATACTACATGTGTATGCACACACATGCACAGAATTTGTAGCCCAATTCTTCTTGACATAAAAAGGGTCAATTCCCACTGATGCCAATCTGAATAGCCTGCACATAACTGGAAGTGTCACTTGGCCTCCTGGTTTGTGGATTGAAGGTTAATTTGAGCACAGCTTTGAGGTAAAATTCAGGACTAATCCACAAGGGACGTGGTGACTACAGTGAAAACCAAAGTGGACCAATTGACCGCCAACAAATGGTGGCAATTAAGTAGAATTAGGAACAAGGGCTAATCCTGTTATGTGTTTTCTAAATATAAAATCAGATCTGAAAACTGTGTTATTCTTCATGAGTTTGGTGTTTTTCACATGTTTCAGGGCAGCTTTTTTCCAAGTATCAGTATGCTTGAGATAAAAAGAAGATGAAAGTCTTCTGAATGGGCCAAGTTGGTTGTACAGCTGTCGGGTACAAAGGGTCAGACTCTGTGGTGGAAAAGGTAATTGCTTTAACCAAACAAACTCTGTCTGGTCTGCTGCTCAATTTGTGCAAACTGCTAGAGGTCAAACATACAGAGTGGCAGGTGTTATCTGAAGACAGTGGTAATGAAAATATGCAGCATCATCATTTGTCCATCAGAAATGGTGTTAAGGGTCATAAAAAAGGCAGGAGAAAAGCTCACATTAGATTCCAGACCTTTCTGAAAATGAATCTTTTCAGTTTACTTGTGGAATTACCACAGTGGGCGCAGATATATGTGAAGATGTCAAATACAGGTGTTGACATACAGTATATACAGTGCAGGAAATAATTTTGCTATAGATGAGATATATGACATGTATAAAAAATGTTTGATCAAATCAGTATTCAAAAGCAAAATCTTTCTTTGCTTACCTGCAAAAGTCATTCTCTTCACACATGTGGATTATGTTCAGACATGATGGGGGTGGAACTGCAGTAACTGCACAGGGCTTGCCATGGAGAAGTTCTTTGGCTCTGTGGCAGGATTCATCAGGCTGGGTACAGTCACAAAACGTCATCATTTGGGCAACTTCAAAAGGCATGTTTTGATAGAAGAACCTTAGGGCTGCTTGACATTCTTCCATGTTGCACTTCTTATTTACTGAGCAAGCCTTAAGATACAGGGACAACTGTTTATTACATACTTCATCTTCAACGCACTCTTTGTTCACATCCAAGCAGGTGCTGTTTGCTGTGTATGCTAAAAAGAGTAGCAGTTTTTTAAATGAAATCACAAGAAAACCTTTCTCAAGTGATGATTAGTAGTCATCCTGCCTGCAACATTCCCATTAAAAACAAGTTTGACTCCCAAAATCTCTGATCCAGCTCTTTCAGCACTGCCTCTTTTAAGCCCATTGTGTGAACTTCACACTTTTCCCTTCCACTGCTTGGCCCTCTTAAGCAACCCTCTTGCAAGTTTCTGCCCCTGTCCGGTAAATAAGGGAGAAGAAAGCAAAAAGTGGCAAGATGGAAGTGTCTTCATGGTATGTAACAGTTCCTAGAAGCTAGCGTCTAGTGGATACCTTGAAACTGCTGAAATCTCCAGCATGCAGTCTTATGCTAGGACATAATAAGTAACAGAGAAGAGAATATAAATAGCCTTTCTGTGCTTTTTAAAGCTAGTTAGGTATTTGTAGCCTATGATATAAACCTTACAAAAATATCAAGATAGTTCTGACCCTAAAATGTTTACGGGATTAAGATTTGTTTCTGTGAATTTAAGAGGATCAGGATTGTTACCTGACATTTTGAGATTCTTTTCTACCCAGTAGCTTAACTAAAAATGTATTGGTTTGACTTTTTAGTAATTTGAATGAAAGTTATTCATTTTAATCTCAAGATACATTGTATGTTATCTGAAAACAGAGATAAATGAGTTTTATTAAGGTTCATAAGTAAATTCTGACTTACCTTTTTTAGAGAGAGCAGATAAACTCCATTGCAATTTTGTTTCTGTATTAATATTGTCTAAAACAAAAACATATGGACGTGAGCATAAGTGATAAATCATGTCTCAGCTTAGTTTTGGTTTCAACTTTAAAGTATTGACTGTGTTGCTGGCATAGTGCCAGTAGCAAAAATAAGCAAGAGTAAAACAAATTAACTTGACAAAATAGGACCTATTAACAAATTCTAAAATGACTGTAACATACATTCATAAATTTTGGGGTGAAATCAGAGTTTATCAATGGCTGCTGATAACATTCTCTACATAATTATAGATCCTGTGAGTTCAAGAATCATTTTTAGAGCTGCTCAGTGTAGTATAAAGTCAGATTTCTTGTGACTAAAGGCCAGAGGTCTTAATGTGTTCATCAGCACACCCAGTCTTTAAGCTCAACTAACTACTTGTCTTGATCTAAAGTCAAGGCAGGCAGACAATAATTTTCTAATTGCTATTAGAAAATTATTGTTATTGGTCTTATATTGTTTCTGGTTATAGTGTAAAGCTAAGTGGGATTGATTTGGATCTCGTATCAAATCAACACAATGAAGGACAATAGTATTTGCACTCAGGCTATCATTTTGCTATTACATTATTCATTCACATCTAAATAAGCCTCTTAAAGCTATCCTGTTTTCGACTGCAAATTATTAAGAAAACCTTTTTCACAGTTGTGCACACCACTGTTATGTATGAAAGTATTCAGACTGTTGGAACCCCACCAACCTGTGTAAGTGTCCTGATTTTTCTCATCATCAACATCATCATCATCATCATCGTTGTCAGCATCATCATTACCATCATCATCATCATTGTCAGCATCATCATCATCATTTTCACTAGCTGCTGAAGCTTGGCTCTCTTGAGAGTATTGTAAACAAGGATTGTTAAATATTTCCTTCCATACTTTAACACATCTCATCTGAAGTGGTTCTGAGCACTTGCACTCTCCCAGCACTGTTTTCCTCAGCTCTTTCCATACTGACAAACACGCCTGGTTGACCACTGGGAGCATGCATTTTGCTGTGTCTGCCTGGCATGCTCGCTGGAAACTCTTATACACTAAAAAGCAGTAAGGGTCCTCTCGACAGCGTTGTTTTGCAGTGCTGCAGTCATTCTCTAATTCTTCTGGGTGCCCTTGGTCTGTGGGGTTTCTGTGTTGCCTAAAACTCAGTTCAGTATCTGATCTTGAGGAAGTTTCCAAATATTCTGTACAAATGGGTACAAACAGAGATATAAATCAGATAGAAGATGGATCATCATCACTGGTCAGCTCAAAACAAACTGAGGAAAATGATAATTGTCTTAATGCAATAAAATGAATGAAATAGCCTTAGTTTCACTCTGAGCTGTATGTAAATACATAATAATTTCAGAGTCTTGTAGGCTAATGAATCTTTCTCATGCTTACTGTGTCCTGTTAGCTGTATAATACAGTCTAACAATTCAGCTGCTAACAGCAATATGAGAAACCCTCACTAGAATTACTGCATAATGGGATTTATCTCACGTAATTTTAACCACCTATGGGTTGAACATATTATGGATTATCATCTTAATTCAGTGCCTAATTTGTAAAGAGAGAATGGCAATTCCAGGAGATGGTCCATTCATTACCTAAAATAGTAATTTAAGTTAGACAGGGAGATTTAACTTCTGAAAGTATCTACCAACACCATAAGCTATCATGTCTAGGTAAAACTGATACTAGCATAACTCCATCCAAACTTTCTGCTATACTGGTGAGAAATGTAATCTAAATCATAAAGCAATAAAAAATTACTTCATTTTGCTGGAAGCAAAAGGAACTGTTTAAGTGATATCAGCATCAGATTTTAGATACCTGCTTTTGTTTGGGCCAAGGAGTAACAGATCAGGATGTTATTATTTCCTCTGCACTGGTTCTCTACACATAACCTATAGATCCAGTGGTGCTCAGCCTCCTTGTGGCGGCCACAAGTAGCCCTCAACACACATTGTATTTTCACTGTTGCTTTCCACTGGATTGAGCAAGAGCTTTAGAAACTGTTTGAACTTCTTACATGCATTTTACTGGTTTTGTTTGATTTAAAACAGATATGGCATTGCTTTCTTATGCATGTTGGAGTGTGAATATTACAGAAAAGGCAAAACTAATTCTCTAGATGGGAAAAATATGCAAAAAAACTTAAATCCAGTTAAAATGAGGGTTACAAAATTATAGATTTCTTTTTGCTCTTCATAATTAAACTATTTAAAATTAAAACCATAATTAAAGCTTTAGTTACCTTTATCAATGCTGCACTGTTTCCCAAGCAAATTTGTGATGCTACAGAAATCATCTGAAGTGCAGACACAGTTTTTAAATTCTGGGTATTTGTCAGCCAGGACCTGGATGATTCTATTACATCCACTAGCATCTTCTGCCTTGCATCTATTACCTAGAACTCACCATTAAAATTATAATGCTGTTAATGTTTATAAATGCTTAAGGGATATGGTTGCATAAAACAATTCAATTGAAGCACGAAAATAATGCATTGCCAAGAGATAATGGTTTGAACTTATTTTAGTTTGAAAACCTGTTTGAAAATAGATTTCAAATAATATTCAGAGTGATATAATAAAGTTGCCTTCTTTTATTTGATCTGACCCATTGCCAAAATGCCTGTTCCCATTTCCAAAAGACATAAAATCTTAAGCTCATATCTTTTAATTTAGGTACATGAAGCACAGAGACCAAACGGAAAAGGTGCACAGGAGTCAACCTGAACTGAGGCATTGAGAAACTCTGCTCTGTCCTATGCAGAAATTAGGTGCCTGGTGCAGGGACATGAATTCACAGTACAGGCTAAGGTTCTGCCAAGTAACAGAGTAAGAGAGAAGACATAGGAGGCCAGGCACAGGAGGCACAGGCCTGTGATAATGGTGATGCTAACCCCATGCTGAGAGATGTCCACTCTGTTTCAGATCCCTCACTCGCATGAGAATGACAGGAGCCTACAAACACCTGGCCATTTGGATATGTCATTGGACTGCTACCCTATAGAACAACTTCACTGCCTAAGTTTGGCAATGACAAGAAATTTAAAGCAGTCCAAGAATATTCAGATTTTTATTGTTTTTTTATAATAAAAATAAGAAGTTAACACTAAAAAAATATGCAGAAGCCTTAGTTTCACAGTTCAGTTTCAAGCTCATTGCTTGCATGTGCACTTAGACTCAGTGACAAAGACACAGAGGCTGTCAGGTCACATTTTTCTTGTATGGGTAGTAAAAGTAAAGATCATGTCCTAGTTTGTGGTACAAATGTAAACAAATCAACCTTCTGCTTTTTGAAGTAAAAGGTTTTAGAAGTATTTCATTACTTATTATTGCTTAAGAAAGTTACAAGTTGCTCAAACAAGTCACATAAGAAACAGGTTTTTTCATTCTTAAATGAAAGTTTTATTTTGTGAAAGCCATGGTCTACCACGTCAAAACAGGTATACAGGTCCCCAAACCACCACATTTCCTCTCTTCACTATTAAGTATTTCACAACATGTAGATAAGGTGTATGTGGCTCACAAGATTCAGGCTAGTCATGGGGCAGCACGAGGTTCAGTTTTAATCTACTGAGCACATATGCTATTGTCTCTGCCCTCTGAACGGTGATGTCTGGCTTCCTGCCTCACTGCTTTCCCGGTGACTAGCATGGAGCAGCAGAGATTGTGTGCTCTAGTGAAACTGCAAAACTAGCAGCCATGTGTCACTGCTGCCATGGACAAGCTTTAATGTGATTAGAGTTTTAACGTCATTTATGTGTTATTGACACAAATAGCAACAGAAGGCAGTCTAGGTGAAGGCCT